TATATATATATATATATAAAATCATCTTAGAACAGATTGCTTAAACGCTGGTGTAACGAAGTGCAGCAACAATGCCAAGTAGTCCAAAGAAAAAAAAGACAAGCACAGGATTTAGCTACATGAGCTAAATCTTTACAGCCCATGCTCCGCAGCATCATCTACCATTCATCTGCATAGAGCAGTGCGTGACAGGTGTCAGTCAGGCCACGCCCCTTTGATTTGCTGACCGTTTGGACTAGTTCAGCCCAGAGGCGGGAACTTTGGCGAAGGAGTCTTCTGTGAGAGTCTCGAAGGCGAAATCAATATGGCGGCACCGGTGAGCATTAGCAAGAACGAAGTGGATTATTTATGTAGTCGTCCATTTCCTTCTATGTCTTTGGAGGAAAAAGTGTAAGTGAAGAGAATGGGACCACACCATCCAAACGATGTTCAAATAACACAACGGGACAAACGACAGAATTATAAATTTTGTGTTACTTGGTTACAACGAAAGGACTGGCTAATTGCATGTTAAGCAGGAATTCACATTACTGTTTCCCTGGCCTGCTTTTTGGAGGACACACAACTTGGACTCAACAAGGAATTGTGGATTTGAAGCATTTATCTGACTAAATTAGGAAATACCAATGCAGCACAAGTCACACTGGAAATTGTGTAAAGCTATCAATGTTTGCGAAAATTAACATTGCCTGTATGAAGGACACCGCATTGCTATACAGAGACACAACGAGCTAGTAAAAAAACAAACAACAGGCATTCACTATCACGGATTGTGGACTGTATTAAATTTTGTGGGCCACATGTGCTAGCTTTACGGGATCAGACGAATCTCCGACTTCCATTCAGCAAGGTGTGTTTCTGGACGTCCGCTTTGCTGGGGGATGCACAATTACTTTTCTTATCTTGTTTTCATGCTTGTTGATATTTTATACAACATTCTTCAAAAACGAACCATGGATCCTTTCAGAACCAGACAGAAGTTTTCCTACTCCATCGGTGAACTGAAGAGGTGACCTTCATAACCAGAGGCAGCTGCAGCTGCAGCTGCAGCAAGGCCGCGCAGGATGCGGAGGGGTGACAACGTCAGTAGCAGCACAGTGCTATGAAATATTGATGGAGCAGTCAAAGGCACGCTTTGAGAAAGCACAGCACTTGGTGTCATTGGACTTCAATGACAGGGTGATTAACATGTTTGCATCCCAGAAAACTCAACGATGTGATCTTCTCTTCAAATAAGGTAAGCTCACCACCCTCTCCCCTCAAAATAGGTAACATGCTTCTTTCCTGTTACCTGTTACTCTTCTTTAAAGATCAATATTTTTGTCTGTGGATACCAACTCCTTTTATTGGTGAAGTGTCTTTGAGTCAGTATGTTGTATAGTAGTGATATTGCAATTGTAGTCTATTGGCAGATTTTACATTTTTAAGTACATCCGTGGCTGCATCAACAGAACTTGAATAGATTTTTCTGGCATTCTGATCATTCAGCTGTCATTCTTCCTTCTTGCATATTTTGTTTTCGCAAAAACAAAAAAAGGCATGTGTTAAT